ATTCAAGAAGCACAAGGGAAGGTGAGCCAAAAATGTCCAGAGAGCAATAGCTTTATTCACATCCGCACAGACTTCAACATAGGATTCCCTTTCTCGGTAGTCATTATAATAATAGTGCAGTATCTTCTCCTACCTGTTCCATTACCTCCCGATATTCCCGCGTCTAAATCTGAATACCCTCGCCATAACACTTCCATAGCTCCTCGAACCGCCGGATCTAGAAATTCCAACGCTCATGGCTATGCCCCAAGGAGGTATAAGAGAGGTTAATCCCGGCCTGAGGATCAAGCTTGCTAAGACTGGATAGTTGGGTAAAGTTAGTTAGTTGACTTTGTCTGCCGTTGCCCTACCTATTTCCAACTACCTAGTTAAACCTTGTTTTTGCAAAGACAACCGTTCATCTTAGTCTGTGCGATCAGTCTTCGAATGGCGGAGTTTTATTATTAGCCGAAGACCCGAGTATGTCTGCGTCTTCAATTTGTTTCGGGTAGTAGGTAGTTAGGCGACCTCTAATGCTTCAGAAGAGAGGGAGGGCACAAATAGCAGGACCATCACAAATGCCGACACATAGAAGTCCCCCACAAAGGCGGCAATGCCAAAGTAGTGCCCGGCGCCAGAGTTGAGCTCATGGTGACCATGAGAGACATAGCATGTGGTTGTAAATTTGGTTGTTCCACGTTATACAACTTGACATCATAGAAGTGCAAACATGCTCATACCTTACATACCGATACTAAGGTTAGGTCCAATGAAACCCGAGACGAACCCCAATACAAGAATACGCTAAAATGTTACGAGGAGAAGGTAGGCTGTAAAAAAATCATGTTCATCAAGTTGCTTTAATTGGCCAACGAGGAATTTGTTTAATAAAGAATCTAGTACATTGGATAATGGAAGTTTGGCAGCTCAAAGAAATAATGTAGACCTACAACGAGGAACAAGCGTGATGTGGGGTCTAAAGCGCAGCTGCTGAGCAAGGGTGGAAAGAGCGCTAAGACGGAAAAGGCAGCAACAGATGCAACTCAGGTGCTGTGTCCAGGTAGTACCCACCTACCGCCAGTGTGGCCGTGCTGTCCGGCCGCTGAGTTACCTTGGTGGGAGGCTTCGGGTGGCGGATCAGCGGCCACCGCCACCTGCCTTGCATTACTCCCACAGGTACTACCTAGGTAGGTAGGTACCTATGTACTTCGATCGAAGTGATTAGAACAAGCTCACTGCGATCCACAAAGCCAAGTCCCCTCAAAACTACCTACATGCAGCTAATGACCGCCGTTCGCGAGGCGGGAGGGGGCGCGGGAATCAAGCAGCCAACCCAGCGCGGCTTCTCCTCTCGAAACAATCGCTTGATTCTTTCTTAATTAATTAAACAACTCCCTGGCGTCGGGTCTATCCTACGGCTCGTCTCGTTGGTCAATGTGCTGGGACAAGGTGCTTCCATCCGTCTACCAACCTCCTCCGAACCGGGCAGTTTATATGCAGCGACAGGGTTCATGCAGAAGCTTCAGACCTCGTTCTACCGACGGGCGCCTGGATCCCTCCACCCTGGTGAGATGATGGCCGTTCTGATCACATTTTTCGGGGTTTGATCCAGAATTGTCCCTGGCCTGCTTTTCTAGTCCAGCCTCACCCAGCGAGCCATTTGTTTCCCGTCTGGACTTTTGTCTCTGTTCAGTTTTTCTCTCTCGCAACCTTTTTTTTTGCATTTCACTGGACTTCATTTCCTTTCCTTGCTTCTCCTCCTCGATGAATGCCGCCTACGACCGTAAATGATTGATTGGACTACGTTGATGATTCCTATGATAATGACACTATGACGCAACAACAAGGACAAGACTGGTATCATCTTTCCCCCACAACCCGCGACCAAGACGACGCAGCCTCGTCGTCCACACGCCCGCCTTACGATTATCCACTAGAGGACGCCTTCTCGGACACTAGTCCGGTACTTGATGCGTGGAGTGAATATCTGCGTGCTAGATACTCCAAACGCAAGGAGTTATACGAGTCTCTTGACACTTCGGCGCAGGAACTGATCCGCAAAGAGATCAGGCGCATTCGCTACTTTCGGGAGCACTTCAAGGACTACCGGGTCTTCAAGGCTGACGATCTCCCTCTGGTCGCTTTGCTTGATGACTCGCGGACAAAATGGCGAGACATTGCGTTTAAGCGATCCGCTGATGAGATTGCAAAGTGCCAGAAGCAGGCTGAAAAAGGTGGTGATACCCCGAATCTGGCTCGGAATCGCATCATCCTCAAATACGTTCAGCAATGGAAGACGCAATCCTATACAAATGCGATGGATTCCATAAACCCCGACACTTACATGCAAGACCTAGAGTCGGGCCCCGTGAGTAGTGAGGATGATCCTCGCAAAGAGGACTATGGCTACAACGGATGGGTCATTGCCTGGGAGCAAGGCCAAGGCTGGGTCTCAGTTGATCACCCTCTCGTACACGGCCAGTTCCCTCATCAAAAGATATCCATCCAGCAGTTCCTCTACAACAAGGAAGGCACACCTCTTAAGAGGGACACACGCAAGGGCCAACTGCGATACTTCCACCTCCCTGCCAACAATATGAAATGGGTAGAGGAGGCCATTTCTCGCTACTACCATGAAGACAATGTTGAGTTTGATGGGAAACTGGTCTATAACCTCAAGCACAACTCTCAGCGCCTTTTGAGAAACGAGCTGTGGAGGGGCCAGCAGCGAGGCGGAACGAACCTTCCCGTCCACGCACGACAAGTAACCACCCGTTGCTCTGTGGTTCCATCCGCTCCTCTCCCCAAAGCGCAGAAGGGGAAAGGAGATAACTCCCGCAAGGATGTCGCCATATTTGTAAGTACATCCAGTCCAGTATCTTGTTGCAGTCGCTTCTAGATGCTCACCGTGTACAGCTACCGTATCTCCACTGGGAAGTAGAGAAGCGTCTTCAGCGGATGTCACAGTTTGTCCAAGTAGCCAAGACACGCAGAGACAAACTTCGCAGAGCAAACACTTTTAGGATGAGAAACAAAATTGCAGAAATTGCACAGAAGGAAGTCCTAAAGAATGCCCGTCCTATTTCAAGCTTTGAAGCGGACCAGCGGAAAAGGCATCTCGCGTGGCGCCCGCACCACCCACTGGCCAAGTACTTTTGGCATGTTGCCAAGCTCTACCAGATCATTGACGAGGCCGCTGACGGGAGGCTAATAGAAGATCATTTATTCAATGATCCTCCACTGCACATGCGGAGGACCTTGGAACAGTACTACTACTGGACAGCTGAAGACACGACACGCCGAGATCGAGACCAGGTGGTGTGTCGGGCCACTCGTCACTATGGCGATGACAATGATCCAGACTCAACCTCCCGGATCATCATGGTAGATCAACTCTGGCTCTGGATATTAGATGATAGTACGTTCTAGCTTTCCTTCTCTTGCTATCAGAACATGCTGATTGGGTCCACCAGATACCGTCATTTCTAGCTTCCCAAGGAGATGGGGTCGCAATAAACCAGATCCATCCGCTGTTCATCGTGGAATTCGTGACCGCCTCGGTGCGCTCGATGGCGATGAGATCCACTCTGTATATGATATTGCTCTCATTGTCGTTGACGAATGCTCCAAGGTCTTCTTCGATCATACAAAGCCTCTTGACCAGCGTCCCGAATTGGTCGACCTCTTCAGCTCAGCCATCTCCAAGATCGTAAGTTTGCAAGTCGAACCCATAAGTCACCTTCCGTAAGCTCACTCTTAACTAGGCGGAAAAGAAAACTATTGCATATGAAGGCTTCGGGCGAGACGTGAGTAGAATCAGTCTCGACAGCCTTGAGTCTGCGGAAAAGATGCTGCGCAGGTCACTCAACATTGGCTTCGAATGGTCAATTCTGGAGGAAGCCCAGCAAGTCATCGATGAACTCCAAATCATGCAGGAAATCTATTCACAACAAACATCAGTCATGAAAGATCTCATCAAAGTGCTCAGCAGTCTTAGCACTCGCGCTTTTGACGCTATCCCCGGGCAGGATACAGATGGAAAGAAACTGGCCATGGACCGTGTTAAGTCCACAATGGCAGATATCAACCAAAGACGCGATGAATTGATGAGCATGGAACGGTTGCAGACGAAAACTAGATCTCAGGTGTGTCGAGCTCATTTTGTGACTTTGAATCCGAGCTATCTGAAGTAGTGCTGATACAATATGAAAAGCTCCGTGAGCTTCTCGACATGAAGCAACAGCAGGCCAACATCATCGAAGCCAAAGCGGCTATCCGAAGAGCAGATGAGAGTGTGCTGCAAGGACGGTCAATCGTGGTGTTCACGGTGGTGACAATCTTCTTTGTGAGTGTTGAAGTCGTGTGGGATTTATTGCCGTTCAGTGGTTTACTAACACAGAGGGAAATAGCTACCGCTCTCTTTCGTGACCTCGGTCTTCGGAATGAATGCGCGGGAATTCAGTAATGATGGCGAAATGGACCTGAGCACGCAACTGAAATATATGGGTAAGTATCTCTGGCAACTATGGAAGATTTCCTACTTTCCGACCAACCACTAATGCGTCTTCAGTGGGCGTGAGCGCCGCCGTCATCGTCATCTCTTTGTCCCTCGCTTTCAGCAACTGGATCCGGACGGTTCTTCATGTTGGCCTTAGTTTGGTCTACGTTGCAGTCGAGGACTGGATGGGTTGGCGAAACAGGAAGAGCAACTACAACTCAACAGCGATTAGAAATATCCAAAGAGAGCGACTCAAGCAGCTAGAGAGCAGAGACCACGCCAGGAGGCTGACGGAGATTAACAGTCGGACGTCTAGCGCTCCAGGCATGCGGCTTCAGCAACGTTCAACGTGGGACGTCAGGCGCTTGGCAGGGGGGCCTTTCAGGCCTTTCCGTAGAAACAAGAACCCCGAGAACGAGGAATCGGTCTAAATTATCTATCTAAATCTAGCTGTTTCATCTATGATGTAATCTCAAATGCAAAGGGGAACAAAAAAACAATACGCCTGCTTTTCTCTTGACTTTTATGATGGTTTTGCCAGAAGTTGTGATATTCCTGATAAGATATCCGCATGGACAGCTTCCCTGGCGATAATCATGCCCCGGTTATTGGACAGCTCTCTGCCAGCGCTGAAATCCATAGGCTTCCCATCAAGATCGGTTATCTTCCCCCCGGCCTCTGTGAAAATAAGCTGGGTTCCAGCATGGTCCCAGATATAGACCGGTAAACCCGGTCGTGCCGGCACACGAACTTGAGCGTCTCCCCCACCGAGTATCAAGGTCGCGTAGCGCACATGTGAGGACCAAACCTCTGTTCCCGGGTACGATGCCCCAAACTTCTCGGCGAGTTGCTCGACAACGTCATGACGAAGAGCAGTGCTGGAGCGAGAGTCGACAATATGCAAATCTTTCAGTTCAGCCGGGCCTCTCAACCGTTCCAGACGGGTGGCCTGCGGTAGCTCTGGTGACCGTGACAGATATCGCACGGAGACGCCCTTGCCTTTGACGGCGGAGAGCATGATCCCTAACCCATCCTTATCGACGCTTTCCTCCACCACCCTGCCGTTCCGCAGTTTCAGGTTCGGGCAGCACAAGACTCCGACCACCTGCTGGCCGTTTTCGATCAGTGCTAACGAGATGGCATATTGATGGCCGAGAAGGAACGTCTTTGTCCCATCGACGGGGTCCATGCCCCAGAACCGACCGTTGGGGCCGCCGGTCCCCTTGCCACCGCGATCTATCAGCGAGAGCATATCCTCGTGGTCGCTCGGCTTAGCGAACTTGGAGCCAGTCTCCGGGTTGGCGACGTCCGGCGCCGAAGCCACATGCTTGTAGACCTCTTGCAGCAGCTGCTCGTTGGCGCGCAGCACGGTGGAGTCCTCCTCGCCGACGAACGAGTCCTTGGGGAACGCATCTTGGAGGGCGCTGATCATGAGAGCCTGCGCGGCGAAGTCGGCCTCGGTGACGGGGGACTTGTCGCCCTTGGCGACCCCTCTGGCCTTTTCCTGGATCTTCTTGGTCAGTAGTGCGGCGCGAAGCACGGCAGCTTCGGCGACGGCCCGCTCGCGGGCGAAGGGTGAGAAGGCAGCCATGGCGGTTTTTTTTTGTGAAGCAATAGATTATCGTTAAGACGAGGGGAGATGGGCGTTGGTGCGTAGGTAGCTTGGCATGTAAGAGGGTTTTTGATGGCGGTTTGCAAGAAGCGAAAATGGCGTTTCCTCAACAAAACATATGTTCAACCCGGTGGTATGAAATAGGTATTTATACTCGAATTAGAAGACAACAAAAGGAGCTCATCCGACAAAGAAAACCCGGCTCAGCGGGATGCTGGCTGTGAATGGCTGTTGGCCACTTGGGTGCGCTTTGTGATGTGTAAGTGAATCAGTTGGTCATGGAGGTAGTCAGTCACACGACACACAAAGGGAGTGAGTGACTCGGTGATTATATGCGATCAGGACTGCATCGCGTGGATGGGGGAGCGGTCTTGCGCGTCAATCCCGTATCTTTTTTTTCACGGCCGGGCTGTGAAGAGGATGCGGCGAGAGTGATGAAAACAGGCTAGAACGAATGGGCAACGTGAACACGGGTGCGGACATGAGTGAGCGTGAGAAGATGCTGGGCTGATGATGGTGGCAATGCAACAAGCCCACTGACTGACTGCAGCTAGGCTGGAGGGCCACCCTCGAGGCAGATTTGCGCTGGGGACAGCCGCGAAAACGGCACATGGCCTGGCCTGGGGGTGCTTTGTTAAGGTAAGGTAAGTGCTTGGCAGAGGTAGTCGCAACCTACACTGCCGCAGCTGCTATACTCTCTTGGGCAGCGGCGACCGCGGCCGCGCTTGCTGGTTCGGACAGGGTCGTTCATCGCCTGGGTCAGTCTCGGCAAGCACGATGCATCACTCCACCTGCAAGTTACCTACTTTAGGTGCCTCATCCATGCACCGCGTCAGTGATGTTACAATGGATGCACCTGCCGTCCCGTGGCAACCGCACCGGGAGGACGCGCGCAACAGCCACACCCACTTCGTGGCCAGGCACGGCCGTATCTAGATAGTTCCAAAGTTCCTTCCTCCTTCCTTTCTAGTGCCCGGAACAGTGTCATCGGCACGCATCTCTCATCATCGTCAACCTCCATCCTCATATCATCCTCCATCATCCTCTCTCACCTCCTCGTCATCCGCAGGCTGACAACTCCGCCAGTCTCATCTCCCCCGGCCTGCATCTAAAGTGTATCAACGCGGCCTATTCAAAATGCAGCCCACATCGCACTTCTCTAGCCCGCTGCTCTTTTCTATAAAGGTTCTCATCTAGCGTTCCTCACCGACTCGTAGTCATATCATTCATGCCCATTTTCCCCTCCCCGAGTCAACCTGCCATTGCGCCTCATCCCATCCCCAACACGCTTCACCCCAAACAACATGCCAGCGAGGACATACATGCATCGGTCCTTGCCATAAATCAAGATCGCGCGGCGCCACTGTGATGGTATCTCCAATGGCCTTCCAGGAGCTTCATCTACCAGCAGCGTTCATCCCCTCGTTCACCTCAGCTCGCGACGCTTCTGTAAGCACTCAGCCATCCCCAAACCCACAAATCAAACACCGACCTGGCTACCTACCGATCTGAGTCATATTCCTCGAGCAAACCTGTAGACTTCGTGTAGGCATGCGGTCCCTGAGTCCTTCCACCTGAGGAGGCGCAGGGCCTCCTAGTCTGGGGACCTAACCAACAAAGGCCTCAACTCCTCTCAAGCTATCCAGTACGAATTTCCCACCTGGTATATCACATCTATCCCCTCGTGATGTTTCGCGTGGAACCGTTTTGGGCATCGAGCTCATCCTAGCCTCTTGGGGGGCATGCTGAAACTCAAACCCCAGGGCTTTCAATATCACTGAAATATTGACAACTCTGCATTTCCGGTATCAAACTCCTTGAAAATGATGTCACCGGCTTTCTTATTGGCACTGACCATACTCTTGGTATTGTGGAAACAAATCTCGCCTGGCATTACGCTCTCGAGCGACCAAATGGGAGTATATTAACAGGATTAATGATCCACTTGGTAAGCACACGTGTCTGATTACCACGAGAGGACGGGGAGGTTTCGTTATACGATCACTCACATTCAATGGAGTTGCGGGCTAGAGTGGGCATTGCAGCGTCTGTAACTTGAGGATTGGATATCCTTTGGGCTTGCCGAACTCTCAGGAGGTCCGAATTTTCCCACTCCAAGTTTGCTGCCCCGAATCAAATAATGCCCGGAGACATTCTCGATGCTATCCTGCCTCATGCTGGTACGCCTGAATGCATTTACCTAAACCTAGATGAAGACTCGGGTAAAAAATGGGACTGCCATGATCGTGAGGAGAGGTTATAACTCCAACAAGTGCATGGGATCAAGAGGCTTATAGTAGATATGCAGTTCTTCTACATCTAGTCTCGTAAGCTCAGTGTCATGACTTTGCCATAATAGCAATTAATTACATGTCAGCTTCACATCAGTCACTCTTAAGTAATTCTCCCATGAACCCACGTAGGCTCTTCAGGGACAAGTGTTCATACAGAGAATTAGAACTAGCACCCTAGCCACCGGGTCGGTCTACATTCCAAGGACATAATAAACGCAGGGCGCAGCATTAGGTTCATTTCATCGTAGAATACTGACCGCTTTCTCAGGCAGGGGACAATTCAAGTCATGGGCATCAAAGGATGAGGCTAAACCCGTTTTACACACCACTTGCATGAAGAGAAGCCAGTTGACTTGTTGAAACTTGTTCAATTCCATTAATATGCCAGTAGCGTTGGTACTGGGGCAAATGCTGCATGTCATCTTATCTATGTCTTCCCTCTTGGGAAATGTAGAGAACCCAGGCCAATTGCTCTCGCAAACCACCGCCTCCCGCCAGCCCTATATGTCTTGATTCTAGTCAAGAAGTCTCCCATTGGGCCAAGTGTGCAAGAGCAGCTTTTAATAATGTACAACCATGAAGCACCGGCTGGCGGGCCATTCCTTGCGTCCAAGACGGGCGTGCTGATGCCTCGGCTCTAGTCCGAAACACCATGATTAAAAAGAGGCCATTGGTATGCGTGGGTTCTGAGAATGCCCTCTAAAAAAACAAGATTCCAACTCCCTTCATGTTTAACAAAGACGATGGATAACCGAAAATCGCCTGGCAAACAAAAATGTGTAAATATAAAAACAATAGACCTTTTCGGAGGTTGTCGCTAATGAACTCCTAAGCTTTTTTTCTTCTCGTAAATCCTGGCCATGCTGATCCGGGTATGTCTTCCTCAACTCTCCTCCTTCATGAAATAATAACGAACTCAAGCCTATTACCGAAACGCCAGACAATGCTGTTTTAAAAAAAAACAAAAGTAGAGTGCGGGGTGAAATCAAAAGGAAGAAGAAGAATCCGGTGGTGACAACGACGTGAAGTAAAAAGAAGATGCCCAAGATCATCAGATACATGGCACCATGAAACCGGGATTTGCCCGATATCATAGCCTTCATCTTCCATTTGGTTTCGAAGAACTGTCTCCTGAGGTTGACTTGCGGGCACGAAGAGCTTGATACATCTTGCTCAGGCGCTGGCCGGTCACGCTCTTGCTTGTATCGTCTACAGGCCACAACTCGGCGAGGAAATCCCTACGCATGAAATGTTAGTTGATTATGCTAAGGCGAAGGTGCAAACTAAGTTGAGGTCATATCTTACCAGAATCGGCTCTTCAGTGCCTCGTCGGCAGCAGTAAAATTCTCATCCAGGAACAGTCCAATGGCGAGGAGCTCAACACTGAAGATAGAGGCGCGCTCTTTGCTTGACTTGACGGTTTCCTTGGTAGTAGACAGTATTTTCTCGAAGTTTCCACGGACAGGCTTTAAGAGGAACCAAATCAGAGCATCGTTGTCTTTTGCCCGTTGTTCTTGGTCATCACCAATGCGTCGCAGCTCATCCAGTCGACGAAGGGCCTTGGCTTTGCGTTCATCATGCGGTCGCGCCTCATGGTCGCGCCGTCTGTCATCTCGGCGCTCATCCCGACGGTCATCACGACGGTCATCGCGGCGGTCATCACGACGATCATCACGGCGATCATCACGACGGTCATCACGGCGATCATCACGGCGGCCATCTCGTCGATCATCCCGTCGGCTGTCTCGACGGTCGTCCCTGCGATCATCTCGACGGTCGTCTCGGCGATCATCACGACGATCATCGTGCCGGTGACGATGCCTATCATGTCTACGGTCGTCCTCATCGCGATAACGACTCTTCTCGGTTCGGAGACGATCTCGGTCTCGGTCTCGTTCCCGATCTCGCTCATCGCCATGCTTGCTCGAACGCCCAGTTTCATCATACCGACGGTGCTTTGAGTTCCGAACATCGTCATTAGATGCATGCTTCCTCTTATCCGGCCGCGGCGTGCCATGGTCATCGAGATGGCTTCTCGAGCGGTGTGAATCGTCGTATCCGTGGTCCCTCTCCCTTTCGCGGTGCTTCTTGCTCCCGTGGGGGACAGGAGATGCAGTAGCCGCGGACCTATGGCCGTTGGACAAGGGCTGCTTCTTGTTATTGCGATGATGATTCTCCACCGTTTTATGCAACGACTTGTCTGGTGAGTTCTTGGACTGAAGAACAGAGAGCAGGTATTCAGCACGTCGTACGAGGTGAACAGGGCCAGGAGCTTTCTGCTTGTCATTGCCCTTGCTTCGTTCCTCCTTCTTAGCAACGCGCTGCTCCTCGAGGAAGAGCTTGTCTCCCATGTTGAGATCTGCGTCATCGCGTATCTGTGGCCAAGCACCGAATCCATGCTTGTCAATCCCGACCAGAAGCATGCCGTCTTCTCTCGCACCCCAGGGGCAACTGTAGCTTGCAGCTTTTGTCGCATCAGGCAGTCGGAACGTGCGCCAATCTTGAGAGGTCTGGATGGCTTGGCGAAGAGTCTGCAATTGCATCGGCCTTTCAATCGCCGTCTCGGCATTGACCTTGCGCAGATCGCCAAAATCAATCAGAACGGCTTTCTTGTCCTTCTTGGTCAGAGTCTTGCCAATCTTTTTCTCTTCTTCAGCAACCCTGGCACTGTTCTCGTCTACAGCGTCCTGGGCAGCTTTGATGAAGTCATTGAGCATGGACTTGATAACGTCTGGATCTCTATCACCAAGTTTTGCTTCCTGTATGATGTCGTCGGCACGATCATCCAATGAGCCATATCGAAAAAAGGCCTTGATCAAAACACGCTGTTCCTTGTCGTTCAATGGCCGTTTTGGATCAACTTCCAGCGCACGCTTCTCGGCTGCCTCTTGCTCCTGCTCTTTCTGTCGTTTCTTCAGTCTGTCTGCACGGTCTGTTTCTCGATTGCGATTCTTCACGGCGGCTCTGCGAGGTGCGCTCTCTTCTGCGACCTTGGCAAGATAGTCCTCGTGCTTTTTCATTTCTTCCTCTGCCTTGATCTCAGCAATCTTCTCTGCAGGGATGATCTGGTCCCAGTCAAGGGCCAAATCGTCAACTTTCACATCGGTAACCTGCATGAAGCTATCCCAGTCGATACCACCACTACTCAGGTTGATCTTGTCATCGACTTTTGTCTTGGTCACCTCAGCATTTTCCAGGATAGAATCAATATCAAGCTGTTCCAATCGCTCTTGGTTGCCTTTCTGCTCAAACATCTTGGAAGATCGCATCTTCAAGACCATTTGGATATCTTCGTTGGAGGAAGGGCCATCCGTCTTGACTCCCTTCTTGTTCAACTCTGCCTTGAGAGCTGCTTTGCCATCGTCTGTGACTCCGGCTTGGATAGTCAAATACTCAAGCAGAAGCTTGTTACGGGCTCGCTCCAGGACCTCTTCTTCAACAGTCTCCTTGCTCACCAACCGATAGATATTGACCGGTCTCTTTTGGCCGATTCGATGAGCTCGGGCCATGGCTTGAAGATCAGCCTGAGGGTTCCAGTCTGAGTCGAAAATGACGACAGTGTCAGCAGTCATCAGGTTAATGCCAAGTCCACCAGCACGGGTTGATAGGAGGAAACAAAAGTCTTCACTGTCCTCCGAGTTGAAATGGTTGATTGCCATTCGTCGAGGGCCAGCAGCAATCGTTCCATCTAGCCGTTGAAATTTGTACCCTCGCAAAGATAGATAGTCACCCAGGATATCGAGCATTCGAACCATCTGACTGAAGATGAGGACCCGGTGTCCATCCTTTTTCAGTTTTGTCAGGAGCTGGTCCAGAAGCATCATCTTCCCGCTACTGGCGATGAGACCTTTGATTTGGTCTTCACGGCGAATGCTCCCAGCCAGAACTTTTTCTTCTGCACCTGCAAACATATACGGGTGGTTACTGATCTTCTTCAGTTCCATCATGACATTCAGCAGAGAGTTCTTGTGGCCATTGGTTGCATCACATAGGGCTGAGTAGTTCTTGGTCAGGATGTTCTTGTAATAATCAAGCTGAACATCTGAGAGTTCAACGCGAATAATCTTCTCCGTCTTGGGAGGCAGATCAGACTCCACCGTCTCCTTGGTTCGCCTGATGATGTAGGGCGCGATGGAGCTATGGAGCTCCTGCAGCTTCTCCTGGGCATCTGCAGCTGACAGGGAGTCGAGATCTTCAGTAATGTTTACTACTCCAGGGTTCAAGAAGTCTAAAAGTGCAGAAAGCTCCGCCAGGTTATTCTGGATTGGGGTTCCGGTGATCAAGACCTTGCAGGGGAAATTGAACCCGTTCAGGCGAGCATAGAGTTGGGACTCCTTGTTCTTTAAACGATGTGCCTCATCGACAGCGAGAGTCTGCCACTTAATAGACTGCAGGAACTGCCAGTCTTGCAGAATGAACTCATACGAGGTCACTAGCACATTGAACTTTGGCCTTTTGGGATTGCCATCAACGAGAAGTTCATGATCACGAATGATGTTGCGGGCTTCTTCTGGTCCAAGGTACACGACGTAGTTCAGGTCGGGTGACCAGGTATTGAAAGTATCGCACCATGCGGGAATGACACTCAAGGGGGCAACGACGAGTGATGGACCCTCTTGTCCGCGCTGGTTTCGGAGCCAACTCAAGAAGGAAACAGTTTGAACCGTTTTGCCGAGACCCATTTCGTCTGCAAGGATGACATTGTTCTGTCGCGTCCAGTTCAGACAAAGAAAATTCAGGCCTTTCAGCTGGAAGGGCCGCAGCTCACCCCCTTGGATGTAGTCAGGCTGCTTGTCCAATTTTACCATCCGCGACCGAGTGTCTTTGTTGCTCTCTTTGCGGTTGGACTGCCAAGATCGAGACGACCTATCAAGAAACTGGTCAATCTTATCTTGAAAGTCAGGGCTGATGTTAGAGGCGGCTTCCCATGTGCACTCTTCGTAAGTCAGGCCCTTCCACTTGACGTAGTATTCTGTTCCATCCTCGCCATCGCGAACAGCAACAACGCGCTCCGCCTTGGTATAGTCCTCGAGGGCTTCTTCATCGCGTTCTCTATCGAGGAAAAATTGTTCTCTCGTCTCGGGGGCTACTTCGTCTCCGAAGCGCATATCAAGCTCCTGCTCGACGACTTTTCTGTAGTAATTTTCGACTTTACGGAAGCCCCGCATATGCTTCAGACTGTCTATGCTCTCCCATGAATCATGGAGATGAGACTTTGCCTGCCACTTAATGAAATACAGGAAATCATTACGCTCCAAGTCGTAACTCAGTTCTGTGTTGTCTTTCGTTTGGTGTTTAACTACCTTTTCGATGTACGGAGAGTCATCAACGTAATCAGCGGTGAAGTTTTCGGGCGCCATCTCTTCTTCTTCTTCAACTTCGAGGTCGCTCTCTTCGTATGTTACTCGCTGAGCGGTACGCCTGTTAGACCACCGCTTTTCGACGAGGTTGGGTTGCGACTCTCTCTCGAGTCTAGCTTTCTTCTGAGACCTTTTCGCGCGTGCTCCCCCGTAGTTATCAGAGTCGGATTCCGATCCATCCGTTGATGGCTGATGAGAAGGGGTGGGTCGTATAGAAGCTGCGATGAAAGAGAGGTCAGTCACGGAACGTATAGTAGGAAGTAGGATCATTCCAGGCTGGAACATACAGGGACGAGAGTTGTCCACTCGACGGCGTTTTGATGCCCGGCGATTTGCAGGCACCACGTCCTCTTCCGAGTTATCAGACACAACCTGAAATCGACAAGTTAGTATGATGCCGGTATGGGACCGTGATTAGTACATACCGTCTTCCGAGGCTGTTGCGGCCGTCGCTAGAAGCAAGGTCAGTTACTGTGCTTGAAACAATTTGCGGGAATTTTGGGCAGCCTGCTTACGCTTCGGCGCAGGCCATAGAGTTCAGGATTGGCGAGTATAAAATCATCCTCACGTGCGGTGGCTCGTCGTTTTAGAGCCTTGCTGGAGTCGCTCGAGCTTGAGTGCTCGTCGATGGCATCCTCAGGATGGGATACAGGACTGTCTTGCATATCGAAATCGGCATCGTCCGAAGCATTGTCGGGTGTCTGACCATCACTATCTTGTGAATACTGATCTCCGTTGACAACATGTGTAGCATCGAGGGCATCATCAGATGAGGTTGGTGATGCGCCATAGCCATTCTCAGAAACAGATTCGGGACGCGTGTCTGAGGCGTCGCTCTCGCTCCGGTCGCGTACGTTGCGGGTCTGGATGGCTATCGTATGTTCCGGCGACAGATGCCCATTTACAGGACCACCCTCAATAAGGGTGGACATCGTCGACTATGCTATGAGACCACCTGCTGCGAGGCGACTTGAAGTTAGCAACTTGGAGAAGCTTTGGACGGTGTGGAGAGTGGTATGAATCCAAAGGGGTGGCATAGGCGACCTGAAAACATGTGAAATGGGGTAGGAATGAACTTGAAATGGCCAAAATGTTGCAAGAATCGCATATCGTCGGGATATGCGATGGCCAGGCTGATGTTTGATGATATTGCGATTGGGGCAGTGTCTGTGGGCAGGCTGGCTTTCCTGGGTCTTGGACGTGCCGCTATCAAAAAACGGCATCGAATTTCATCAAGAAAGGGCCATATCAACAGGTATAAGACCCGTGGAGGAGGATATATTGGATTCAACAGCCAGGTCGAGGCTCGGTCGATCGCATACGGCAGGATACACGGGCAAGTCTGCCGGGATAGTATTGGCAGGAAGGGAATGTCAACTTACAAGTCATTAATGAATGACCATCAGGTAGCAGAAGGCATTAAAGAAAATACCGGCGAATTCTCGAATGTGATTTGCAGGTTTGGCCAAATGGGGGTTCGGGTGGGCGTGGATGAGGTGTGAGGGTGAAGGTGGATTGTCACAAAAATGCCACCAGACTGGTGGAGAGAGAAGAATTGGATGGTCCGGCAGCAGGCACCTCGCGCGGGTTGGGACTCACAACGCTAGCGCAGGGCAAATTTCATTGGCCACAAGCTCGCTCAGACCCATATAAATCGATCACGTGATTGTCGACGTGAAGAGCAGGGCAACTCTAGTCGACAAGTTTCAGTTTCTTGAGGCTGGGCAACTAGGCGCCTGAATACCTTGCGATATGTCTACAAAGCTTGAATTCTATTGAACGCCTATTGAAAAGCAATGATGCTCCTGCATTTCCGCCCTCGTCCGGCAGGTGACGGGATGCAGCCACTGCCGATCATTCGTGTACGGGCAGTGTAGAATGGGGGTACACATGAGCTACCCTATAGATGACTGCTATTCAGAGCCATTCGCTGCTATTGTTTCTCGCGCGTTTATGAATGCTGGTATTGTAATTGTTGGTTATTTTTGCCACGCCCCTCTGCCATTTCCTGTTCGTACTAATATGCAGCTGAGGCACAGGCATTGTGGTAGAAAGATGTTTCCTGTATTGTTTACGGTTTTCAAGTTAACAATAGGTTCACAATTGGTCAATAGGTATTCACCACAAATTCTCAGCCCATTCGTAACTTACACAAATACCTACCCAACGGGAATAACAATTCTCCCATTCCAATCATACTGTATACAAGTACTTACGAGAACTCGCTGTTCACGATGGATTGTTTACCTGATCCGCAAATGAATAGAGCCAGGCACTCCAGATAATGGCCCAAGCACACGGCAAAACCCACTGGCCCGAATGGGAACTAATGAGACCCTGTCAAGTGGGTGCCAGAAAAACAGGCACTGCAAAGCTGTTCCCCAGAAAACTCAACTTTCTACTACGGGCCACAATATTTTGAGATAATGCCTTTAAAGATCAATTAGTTATTATTGTTTGGAAATAACGAGCCTATTCTTTGCGCCAAGAAGAAGTATTATAATCTAAGATCATCAGCAGTATTGTTCTTCACGGTGGCCAGGCGTAGCGGTCACTGTTTCTTCAAACGGCCACTTGATTGTGTCCATGACCTACCAGCTAACTCGCAATCAAACAATGTACTAGCAGCGCCTAGGTATTTTGCTGGCCCAGACATCCTCCGACCGAATCGGAAGACGGATGTATTTTTCTTTCTTTTTGCAACAGATGCACACGGCTCTCCGATACAGATAATCCTGCTAGGCTGCTGCATAGACGTAGGTTTAGATATGGTTCTAGGTCCTACTCTTTGAGAGATGGTCACTCCCACTTCCTCCCCATCCAGGTAGGTGAGGCACCTCAGCGCTGTGCGACAATGCGAGTAGGTGGTACAATGACGATGGGGACATGTACCTAGGTCCTATCGATACCCAATCCACCTTTGTACCTTGCAGATTCAACCATCATGGAGAGAGGCAGGCTCCCTTGCACCTCAGCATGATGGCGAATCGCCGCAGCCCGAAGGACTGTTATGTGTAACCACCACTGCAGCAACTTGCCGCAATGGCTACTTCATCTCATGTCAAAGACACGGCTAGCCACGTAGGTAACACATCAATATCAATGGCTCCCGTCCATGCTTATGCCTCCACCTGCACCTGTAATTAGTACCTGCCCAAGTCTCAATGCCCTGCCCCGCCAAAAGTGGACGATTCAGAGCACAGGAAAAATTGATGACCGCACACTCGCTGCCTCCATCATTGGGCGCAACACCACAATCCTGATCTTTTTTCCCTGCCCACCATTGTTTCTCCCCCCGATCCAACTCGCACAATATCTGCCCGTCTGCGCCGTCGAACGCGCCTGCGTACGAATATCCCATTCCAACTGAACCAATCTCTTGAGCTTGACAGAAGGGCGACGCTGGGATCGCGAGCTGAAATACCGCCGCTCGAATAACCCCTCCGACAATTTTTTGTGTCCACAGCACACGCCAACACCGCCGTCATGTCTGACAAGCTTACACGGTATGAAGCTGGCCGGGATATGGATTTTTTTTCGCCCAAGGGTTCCTGCTAATACGGATTTCTTTTTATAATGTAGTATCGCCATTGTCAACAGCGACAAGGTTCGTCAAGACCGCTCGTATACCTGAATACCCTTTCCTTTTGGCCCATCTTGGCCATCTTGAAAAAAATCTACCCCGCCTCACTCAACTATAACCCCACCATCTATCCGCATCGCCAACACCACGAATCAAGAATAAGTTCTGACAAACCTTCTTTGTGGACAGTGTCGCCCCCGAAAGTGTCGCCAGGAATGCAAGAAATCCTGCCCAGTCGTCCGAAGTGGCAAGCTCTGCATTGAAGTTGCGCCCGAATCCCGCCTCGCCTTCATCTCCGAGTCGCTCTGTATTGGTTGCGGTATCTGCCCCAAGAAGTGCCCATTCGATGCCATTACAATCATCAACCTTCCCACCAACCTCGAAAGCCAAGTTACCCACCGATATGGCCCCAACAGCTTCAAACTGCACCGACTTCCTATGCCCCGCCCCGGGCAGGTTCTCGGTCTTGTCGGAACCAACGGTATCGGCAAGAGTACTGCTTTGAAGATTCTTAGTGGAAAGCTCAAGCCCAACCTGGGCCGTTTCGACAACCCCCCCGACTGGGAAGATGTTATCAAGTATTTCCGAGGTTCTGAACTGCAGAGTAAGTGGACATCGGGCACCAGAATTATAATCCAATTGTGCTGATCATTTGGTAAAAGACTACTTCACCAAGCTGTTGGAAGATGACCTCAAGGCAGTGGTCAAGCCCCAGTATGTCGACCAGATCCCCAAGGCTGTCCGTGGCACCCAGAAGAGTGTTCGTCACCTCATCGAGAGCCGAGCTTCCCTCGGCAATACCCAGGAGGTCGCCAACGTTCTTGAGTTGAACCATATCATGGACCGTGATATCAACTTGCTCTCTGGTGGTGAGCTTCAGCGTTTTGCCATCGGTACTGTCTGCGTCCAGAACGCCGATGTCTACATGTTTGACGAGCCCTCTTCGTATCTGGATGTCAAGCAAAGATTGAGCGCAGCTCAAATCATCCGCTCATTGCTCCGCGACAACGACTACATCATCGTGGTTGAGCACGATTTGTCTGTTCTGGATTATCTTTCCGACTATATTTGCGTCTTGTACGGAAGACCCGCCGTCTATGGTGTTGTTACCCTCCCCTACTCTGTTCGAGAAGGTATCAACATTTTCCTCGATGGTCATATTCCCACCGAAAACCTCCGTTTCCGTGACGAGTCTCTGACCTTCCGTATTGCCGAGAGCGCTGATGAGTTTGCTATTGACAAATCTCGTGCTTTCAAGTACCCAAAGATTGAGAAGACACTCGGCAACTTCAGACTTCGCATCGATGCTGGTGACTTTACCGATTCCGAAATCATTGTCATGATGGGAGAGAACGGAACTGGCAAGACCACCTTCTGTCGCCTCCTGGCCGGAGCCCTGAAGCCCGATAGCAAGGCCTCCGTTCCCGACATGAGAATTAGCATGAAGCCCCAGACCATCACGCCCAAGTTTGAGGGTACAGTCCGCCAGCTTTTCTTCAAGAAGATCAAGCAGGCCTTCCTTTCGCCCCAGTTCCAGACCGATGTTGTCAAGCCTCTGAAGCTCGAGGACTTTATCGATCAGGAGGTCAAGAACCTGTCCGGTGGTGAATTGCAGCGTGTTGCCATTGTCCTATCTCTCGGTATGCCTGCCGACATTTACCTCATTGACGAACCTTCCGCCTACCTCGACTCCGAACAGCGTATTATCGCCGCCCGTGTCATCAAGCGCTTCATCATGCACTCTAAGCGCACGGCGTTCATCGTCGAGCACGATTTCATTATGGCCACGTACCTCGCTGATCGTGTCATTGTCTTCGATGGCCAGCCTGGTATTGATGCTCATGCCAACAAGCCTGAGTCTCTTCTCTCTGGTTGCAACGCTTTCCTTAAGAACCTTGACGTCACCTTCCGCCGAGACCCTGTGAACTACCGCCCTCGTATCAATAAGCAGGGCTCGCAGCTTGACCAGGAACAGAAGATGGGCGGCAACTACGTAAGTGAACCCGTAAACACGCCGATAGCTGACAGCTCATGCTAACCCACCTGTGTTTAGTTCTTCTTGGAGGATACTCCTGACAAGAGCTCTTGAAAAGGGCAAGTATAGAAATAGTAATTCCCACCACCACCACCACCACCACCATTACCACCACCATCATCATGCATCTCACGGCGTTACGGGCGTTCAAAATAAAACCACGCTTCAGAAGCGTATGGGGGGCCAAGCCCACGGTTCTGGCTTAGATATTGATGATCCGGGCGAGGATGATGAGCCAGACGAGTTGGGCTCGCCGTGGCAGCCTATCCCCTGCTGTCTGGTCCTGCGAGGGTTCCATCCCATTTGGGATTGGA